ATGAAAATGCTCCAGAAGCCTCTGTAGACTGCACAACAGGTAGGTCAGACTTTAACATGTGTTGTAAAAGGGACCCAAGTGTTACTGAGACATGGAGACTTACTAATGGCAGAGTCATACTGCGTGGCATTGTGGCTCTGATGGGAGAGAGGGAAAGGGAAGAGATAGGCGTGCATACAGACCTTTGCGGATGGCTGATTGGCTAAAGAAAGAGAATTTAAGATAGTTAAAAAATGACACAAATGTTTTGATTAAAAACTGTTTGACAGCATCCCAAATTGTTTACTACATTATGACATTATGGACCTTTACTGGTTTCTGTGAAATTCTACAGACTCTCATAAGGGACCTATGAGCACCAAGCAGTTTCTGACAATGGTGCACTGTTCATAAAGTTTGCTTCAGGAAACAGATGATGCAGAGTCACCTGACCACACCAAAATAACATCACATGGTGCTAAGTGCTCACATGAGAGCGGCTTCTAACACTTGTGTTTACAACAGGCACAGATGGAGTGAAGTAGACCACTGCAGCTGCTGCTTGCTTTCTGTTACTCATTCATTTGTACAGTCACACTGAACACTTACTGAACCACAGCCTCCAGATCAGGTCATTGTCCTCCATGTTTGCTCCAAAGGAACACCTCCAGAAAAATCCTTCATGGTAAAGAGTGACATCACTCGAGTCCTTCTGTATCAAAACAAAATACAAACATTTATACTCATAATACACGTAGAGGTTTGGCACCAACCTTGCACATAGTATTTTAGTGCAGCGACACATGGCAGGTCAGGTCAAAGGTCAAGCTGACCAAGCTCCACTAACTTGCAAGGTTGGTATGTCAGTCATTTACAGTCATTGGTGATAATCTAATACAGTGAACGTGTTCAGACAAGACAAGGACCTGTCAATATTTAGCCTGTGGACATTATTATTATTGAAATATCAGCTATGGGACATGATCACACCTGGACACGTGATTCCTTCCTTGGAAAAGCTGAGGCTCTTATTTCAGACATAGTGAGCACATTGACTGGAGGTTTTCAGGCACCACTCACTGAAGCAACACTTGTCAGTGTTGACATGCATGTGTCACTCTTTCCTTTTCTGACTGGACATTGGCAATGCCATGTCTGAATATATATTTACACCAGCTGGCTTTTATGTGGGATCACATGTCTCTCAAAAGCTGACGTGTATAAATTAAACACAAATCATATCAGCCAATATATTGTTCACTGCTAGATGTGCAGTATATTTAAATTGTTTGCAGATAATTTTATTAAATGATCAGCTCCTGATGAGGTATGTTCCAGTCAGTGATATTTAATACAGTGCAATGCCACAGGGACCACTGGTATTTGTATTGGTATCACAGCAGTGCAGGCTGGGTACACGCCTAAGCCACGTCTCAATGCAATGACAATGTCATTCGTAGATCAGGGTGCTAAGAGGCTTTGCTGAGACTTTCACAGAAAGTTACTAACAAAATGTGAGCATTTAAATATATGAGTCCATGTGACAGTTGACCTGTGCTTATACTCCACACTATAATTCTGTCTGTTACTCACCTCAACAGTGACCCCTCCTGTATTCTCAGATCCTTCAGGTTTACAGCTCTCTGATGCCATGAGCCAATAATCCGTCCCAAATGAAAGTAAGATGAAGACCACTGCCAAGGCACCAAAAAGGCCTGCGAAAAACAAGGCCACGCTGAGCTTCATGGTTAGTTCTGTCTTTTCTGACTTCCAGCTACAGTCTGTGCATGTGACAAGATCCAAGCCAGTTACTCTTCTGTTTAAATGACCCCTCTCTCTCTCTCAATTTGTATTACTAGATCTCTGCTGATTCTGCTTCTGTTACGACAGAACAAGCTCATGCACATGATTCACCCACACCCTACTGGGGTCTTTCTCACCCTCCCGCCACCCCCCAGGGCTATTTTTGGGATCTGACTGACTACTTCTGTCTTCTGTCTCCTCTCCCCTGGTTCACTATATGGGGGGTTGTGAATGGGAGGTATCAATGCAGAAATAACCAGCAGCAACTGGACACCCAGTCTGTATGGGAATGCAGTAGAGGAGAAACAGAGAGGGCACGAGAGGAGTCTTGGACCACCAGCACAACACGCAAATAAACACATGCTGTTTCCTGTAAATGGGGGGCTTAAAAGTAAATGTAGACATGATGTGAAAGAGAAAGTACAAGCTAGTTTATAATATTAGGCTTATTTTAGAGTATAGTAAGTCTGTAAGCATGTACCTGTCATTATAACTAAATCTGAAGCACAATATATTGCTACAGAGATATACCGTGAGAAGAAGAGATAATAATGAAACTAATTTATACCTCAGCTACAATAATGCAGGATAGTCTCAGTCAACCATTTTTATAGGTGCACTCTGTAACGTTTTGGGTGGGGGTCCATCACCTACTTGTTTCTATGGATACATCATTGCTCTGCCTGGAATGTTCCACAGTATGACATTAAACAGCTCTGCCTTAAATTTGTTCAATTATAGGTGGTTTTATAGCTCAAAATACTTAGAAAACCAAGCATTGTAACTTTGAACAGGGTTGCCTCACCGCAGATCTGACCTGTAGCTTGGTCTGGTTTGGTCTCCATGAAGATAGAAAGGTTTAATATCATACTGTAAAAAAAAAATCCAGATAAAGCAATAACATCTCCATGAAAAAAAAGCGTTTGATGGGCCCTCCACCTGAAAAGTTACACAATGCACCTTTAAATAGACAGTATCATTAGGAGGCCTGAGCTGCAACAAATAAATAGCAGAATGGACCAATAATAGCAGAACTAGTAGCCATAGAAACCACTTATTTAACCCTCTGCAGCTCAAATCTTTGCACATTACAACAAAAATACCCAACACAAATCTCCCCACTTTTATAAAGAAATTAAATACTGAGCTCAAAGGCAAAGCTCTCGATTTACTGGTCAATCTACGTTCCTACCCTTACCTATGGTCATGACCTCTGGGTAATGGCCGAAAGGACAAGATCGTGGATGCAAGTGGTCAAAATGAGTTTCCTCTGCAGGGTGGCTTAGAGATCTTAGAGATAGGGTGAGGAGCTCAGTCACACTGGAGGAGCTTGGAGTAGAGCCACTGCTCCTCCACATCGAGAGGAGCCAGCTGAGGTGGATCAGGCATCTGTTCCGGATGCCTCCTGGATGCCTCCCTGGAGAGGTGTTCCGGGCATGTCCCAACAGGGGGGGGGGGGACCTAGGACATGCTGGAGGGACTATGTCTCTCGGCTGGCCTGGGAACGCTTCAGGATCCCCCCGGAGGAGCTGGAGGAAGTGTGTGTGCAGAGGGAAGTCTGTGAGACCCTGCTCAGACTGCTGCCCCCATGACCCGACCCCGGATAAGCGGAAGAAAAAGAATGGATGGATATTGTTATAAATCATACAATTGTTCCAGCTTTCATAAATTAAATGATAAGTAACTAGGTAAATGCACCTCATATTGTATTGTCGTAAAAAAAACAAAAAAAAACAGCAAGAAGTTAATGTACATAACAAGATGAAATAAATGTTTTTAGATTAGTGATAAGTAAGATATAGTATTTATTGAGACAGACCTACATGTACTGGTGTAATGGACCAATTGTATGAGACTTGAGAACATGCCTTTATGTAATAGAACATGCAGCTCACATTATGCTATTGCCTCTCTACACAGTGACTTATTTGATGACAAACAAGATAATAAAGAATAATAGGATAATAGGAACCTAGGAGGGGTGCAAAGAAAGAATTAGATTACTTCAAAACATGGTGAATTAAAGTGTAAAAGTGAACAAAAGCTATATTGTGTTTTATTTAAAAATTCAGCACGCAAATATATTAAAATGGTATGCTTAAAGTAACTATTAGATAACAGAGCTTGGAACACCTGCATTGAAGTAACCACAGACCCTGACACACTTTATTAGCATGTATGAGGAACATTTAACAGGCAAGTATTAAGTCTGCAGGCTCATTTACACCAAGATGTGACCAACAAGAATCCAAGGGACAGATGCGTGTGTGTGGTTTACACTGTCAGAGTACACACAAGTATAATTACAGTTCAAATTTTCCTTGATCCTACACCTACCTCCACAATCAAAAGCACGTGATGAAAATTTTTATTCATGCAAGTTATTATAGGCTAATTTATGGCTGTTAACATTTGACTATTGGATAAAGCCATGCATGTGTTCTTGGCTGTGTAGTGAAAATAAAATGGACCACACTCCTCTAGACTACCCTGAATGCTCCAAGAGAAGTTTTGAGAAGCTTTACATTTTTGCATAGCTTTGAAAATGTAATGCTTATTTATGTCCACTTAGGGGCGCAAAAGCCCACCCTCTCTGGAGCATTTAACTAGGTTATCAAAATCACAATTCATATGTTGTTTTTTTTTGTTTTTTGTTTTTTTTTACATATATTGATATAATTTAGTATAGCTTACTTGAACTGTAATCTCTCTCTCTCTCTCTCTCTATGCTTATGTTTTCTATCTGCATATTTCTTTTAAGCATTGGTATCAATTACCCCTATTTTATGTATCTGTATGAATATGTCGGACCATAAATGCAAGTTTCTTATAGGGAAAAATAAAGTTGTTTGAATTTAAATTGAATATTCTATGTGATATCAAAGTTCAAATGATGTTTCATAATAAAACAGAAACGTTTGTAGCATGTTTATGTGATGGACCTCGTCTATGTGGACCGTACCAAATGTCGAGAGTTCGGGGTGAGTTTGTAAGCAGCAGTTTTGTTTTGTTTTTCTATAAAGACAAAAAAGATAAGTAGCCCTCTTTCTAAAGCTTGTTATATTTGACTTACACATTTAAAATCAGTCTTTGTTTCAGGGTCTATCGACATTTTTCAGAGTGTGTGTTGTAAAACTCGGTGCCCCCCCTGCACGCGGGCAGATGCAGATACGGGACGTGCCGCTCTGAGCTCAGGGTCCAAGTGCGCTTCCGCTTTGACTGGAGCCGGTTGTCACTGCGGGTGGAGGATGAATAAGAAGAAATGTAGCTCTTTATTTCTCAAACCCGGGGGTCGGACGCGGATCATACAATGCATCTATGTGGTGGGCTTCATGGTGAGTACCTTGGTAACAGGTAAAATATCCATATATGTGGTAAACGGAAACTGTCTCGCAAAACACAGGTGTCTGACAGGTATTTACTCTGCAGTTCACCCATGGGCTCATTGATTGCATTATTTTTGACTAGTAATGAAGTCTGTTGCCACTCTCAGGTGCCTAAAACATTAATTTAATCAATAAATACTCAGTGTTGTCTGCTACTATGTATTTAATTAGTTATAATCAATAATTACATAGATGTGATAGACAACAGGTAGGCCCTTGAATAGTTCTAATAATAGTCCTTGCTGCTTTGAGTGGAGCAGCTTGTCTTGTCAGTTTTTATGCACAGAATTGTCTTCACATATTTGCTGTCTGAAAAATATGTCCCAGGTTGAGAGAAATTCAGCAGAAAACTTGCCTGTACTTTAGAACTAGTTGAGTCAATCAATACTGCACTGTTTTCTGTTGGGACAGAACATACTGTTCAACAATTACTCTAATGACCTCAGCAGCAAAATACGATGTGACTTCAATCAAGACTTTGGCAAGAGCTGGTCTGAACGCACACTGCATTTGTTTTTCACATAACAGCAGCATCTAAAACTGTCCCAGTCCTGGTGGCATTTATTTCATATGACACTAATGTACTTTCTCTTTCTGATATTTGCAGGATCTGTTTGGGGTGAGCATGATCATTCCTCTGCTCAGTCACCATGTGAAGTCTTTGGGAGCTAGTCCCACTGTGGCAGGAATTGTAGGTAAGACTCTCCATTGTTTTCAGACATACACAATACTAAAGGATGGTTAGCTGTAACATTATGGCTGCAGACACATGATGTAAGGATTATCTTTTTATGGACACCTGGTCGTGAGAGTGATGCTGATGAACAAAGTTGACAAAGGCCAAATGGCTAGATGACTTGCTTAGATTGTAATTAATTTAGATCAAAACCACAGGCACTTTCAAATGTTCCTTTTTCTTTTTGTAAAGTGTTGGTCCAGGTGATGTACATGGGCAGTGGCTTCATATGCTGTCAAATCTTGCAGGTTAACTGGCTAATTAGTTTTATTAGCTTTTAATAAGTATTATGCAGTATGGCATTGGCCAAGCTGTTACTCCTCTCTGCCCTGTATTTTCATTATAAAAAGTGTCACAAAAGTATATTGAAATATTTTGTACTATGGATTCTTCTGAATATGTATGTATCTAATTTCTCAGGATCTACTTATGGGATACTGCAGTTGTTCTCAAGCACTATAGTTGTAAGTACTAACATTTTTTCTGGATCTGTTTGGTTTAACAAAGAGATGGTCATTGTAGATAAATTGCAATTGAATTTCCAATAATTGTTGGTATTCCACTGAAACAATACACAATTGTGCATAAGATGGTGAAAAGCTGCAGGGTCGCCATGCCACAATGTTTACAGAAATACTAGTAGCCAACTTCAGAATCCTAGGTTTGTCAAATTTGTCCCGCTTTACCATACAGAAGTATTCAAAATAAGTAGTTTTCAGTTTTCAACAAGAAGAATGGCATGTGGTGGTGTGGTATTCTCAGTTTTCCACATCAATAAAATTGATTTAATCTCTCAGGTCATGTGGCAAATTAAATGCATAAAGACTGACCTGTCTGTATCTCGTGTGGGGACTGGCTTCATCCAAGCACTAGAATTGTGGACAGCCTCGTCTTTATGATAATCTTAGGCTACATCCAGAATACAGCAAATTCAATTGGTCCACAATTAAGTTAGGTCTTCTTGTGTAACACTTGGTTACAGATTTTACTTTCTGTCTCAAAGTTGGTGAGTCTGTATTTTAACTTGGGCTGGTCTTTGTGATATGCCATAAAGTTATTTCCTCATATTTATCTATTGCAATTCATTGAACGTCTTTCTCAAAGAAAATTTTATAAATATGTTTTTAATAATAAAATGCATTAACTCTTTACTTAAAATAAAAGAATGCTTTTAGTATGTGACTGTAAACCGTAAGCCAAAAGTCAATAATTGTGACCTGCCATTGTTTTGAACACTATATGATATTTATTTCATTAAATAACAATTTAATAATGTGTGTGATTTGCGTGTGATTTTCAGGGCAGTTGGAGTGATGTGGTTGGACGGAGGTATTCTCTGCTAACATGTTTACTGCTCAGTGCATTTGGCTACAGCCTGCTTGGCATGTCCACCACCATCGCCCTTTTTGTCCTTGCGCGGATCCCTGTGGGTAAGATACAAAAACATGGTAAAAATAGTGTCTGTTTCTTTGCTACAGTTTTAGTTTTAACCACAATAACAAGTTGTCTAGGTAAAGACATTATTTAAACAAATGATTTACTATTTTTATGTTGACTATTTGTTCCTCAGGGTTGTTCAAACACTCGCTGTCCATTTGCAGAGCACTGTTGTCTGATCTAGTGTCTGAGTCAGAGCGCCCTCTGGTGATGGGACATTTTAATGCAGCCTCCAGTGTTGGCTTCATTTTGGGGCCTGTGGTTGGTGGGTACCTTACAGAACATGACGGTGGCTTCTACACCTCTGCCTTCACATGTGCGGCCATCTTTGTTCTTAATGCTGGTGGGTCAAACAGACTGCTCTATCTCTATATCTGATGTGGTATGTGGATCACATTTATAATTATTTTTTCAGGACTTGTATGGATGCTGCATTGGAATGATACAGTAGTCAACTGCAATGGCACCAATGATAGCAGTAAAGCTTGTCCAGACTGCTCCAAGTCCACACAGAATGGTTCCCATATAAACAGCTTTTACCAAAAGCCCCCCGCAGAGCCAGAGAAGATGCACAGGGGTGTGGATTGGGGGCAGGTGTCCCTTCTTCAGCCTGTATGGAGACAGTTGTCCTTGGTGGGATGTCGGATTCACATGGTGGCCTCCTCAGACATGTGGGACCTCTTCCTCGTGCGACTTCTCATGGCTATTGCTATCATGCTCTACTACAGTAACTTTTCTCTGGCCATGGAGGAGCGCTTTTCTCTCAAACCAAAGATGACAGGATACCTGATCAGCTACAGCAGCCTGCTAGGTGCCCTGTCAGGGTTTTTAGTGGGGCCAGTCACAAAACTGTATGGGAACAACATGCATGCACTGCTGCTTCACTCCACAGTACTCACATGTACACTAATTTTTCTTTACGCCACTGCACCGAGTGTCTGGCAGGTCCTGCTCACCTCCACCTTCTTTGCCATTTCGACATCCATAGGACGAACTTGTATCACAGACCTGGAGCTGCAGCGGGGAGGGGTACAGTCAAGTGGTACTCTGATTGGAGCAGGACAGTCTGTTACAGCTGTGGGGAGGGTACTGGCCCCTCTCCTGTCTGGACTGACCCAGGAGGTCAGCCCCTGTGGACCTCCTAGTCTGGGAGTGGCCCTGGCACTAGCTGCTGTTGGTTTACTGCTTATTCGCATTCCCACATGGAATGGGAGGAGGACCAAACAAGAATAACTTTTAAATGACTTACTGAGTTGTGAGTTTAATTTCACAGTAACATTCACAGAAATGTTCTCTAATGAACTGGTGTGGGCCATATGTGAGAAAACTTGAAGGAGATACATATGGCTCATTAGTCAGTAATCACCAGCATGGATGGAAACCAAACCACTACGGTGTATTATTTATAGGAACAAATATGGGCCCAAATACAAAGTATTCTTTTTAGTTTAGTGATCACTGTTGAAAATGTACTTTTTTAATGGTCAATTGCACAGTAGCTGATGGCACTAAGATTTTAGGATAAAATAATAAACTACAAATAATATTAGATTCCAGAAGTTACTAAGAAAGCTTGATATTTTCCACATTTACCTCAATACATTAAAGTGCACTACACTGAAGAGAACTGAAAGTGCTGTTAACTATTGGCTATTTTGTTAGATAGGGTAAATCTATATTTATATAATTTTGTTTTTTTAAATATGTAAATACAAGATATTTGTACAGATGCATTTTCAAATAAACCTGTGTACATTATTCATAACATTTGTATGCATTTTTGCACATTTTCTGAGATCCTCTACCAACCACTCTTACAAGAAACTGTGGTAGGACATACCTCAGTACATTTCTTATTATAACGCAGCTGCAGTTATTGACCATCTTACCGGTTATGCAAACCCCAACTTTTATATATGGGCAGTGACACCATTGAATTGCCTCTAACCTTAGAACTTCTCTCTCAGTGCTGAATATTTCTTTTGCATTGTTTTAACAATTTAACAACACTAAAAAATTTATTACAGTTATAAGAGACATTTTGAGGCCTGCCACTGTAATTTCTTTGTGTTAAAATAACAAATACAGTCACACTGCATAAATATAAAAACATATACAATTGAAATTTCAGACAATTCAGTCACACAATGCATGAAAAATATTTACAAAAGTAAGAAATATTCACAGTAACTTTAAAATGAATGCTAATTTACGATCACCTCTGGCATTTTACAAGTCCATACTTATCGGTTGGTAGTGTTTCATTTGTGTGCAGGGGAAACACTATGGACATCATCAGGTCCTCTTTGGGTTCCACAGTGGTCGTCTGAGGAGAGGGTTTCTGTTGACATTGCCCCTGGGTTCAGCGACCCAGACTGGAGGAGGGGAGGGGGCTGAGGGCTCCTCCTCTGCTTCATGATGCACATTTATGAGGTTATCTGAAAGGCCATTGTCGTCTCTGGTGGGAGAGAGCTGCTGACGAGGACCAGGTAGTCGTGTGTCACTGGAGGAGGAGTTTGATCGAGTCGTACCTGCCCTGCTGCCATTGTTCTCCTTGTTTTCATTTAACATGTCAACTGAAACTGCCTCTGTGAGTGTGTCCAGTCTGCGCAGAGGCATCATGGCTCTGGAGGAAGAGGAGCGTGTGGGTTGACTAGACCTGGACCGCCGATTTGCTATGGGATACGCAACTTCGGACATGGTTTCCCGATCATCTAAAGTGTAGGAAATGAATAATATTCATTTAAAATATGCATTTGTATTATTTTTAAGCCATAATAAAACAAACTACTTAAGATTAATGTAATGAAAATAACTCTATATTATTAATTGTTAACTCTAACAGCCTGTTGGCTATTGCTGAGAAAGTTATAAATAGTTGTTGGAATTGGTTCAGTCACTTCACCCACCACAGTCACCAACACTGGAGTTCCCCAGGGGTGTGCGCTCTGCCCATTTCTGTACATCCTCTACACCAATGACTGCTCCTGCCCCACACTCATCACTACATATTTCAAGTACTCCGACAACACTGGCAGACTAAGAACTACTCAACTACACTCACAGATCCCAGACCTGGTACCTACCATCATTCACAACAAAACAGTAGAACATGTCAATCACTTAAAATATCTTGGACTTACACTAGACAATAAACTTATCTATGAACATCATGTCAATGACATCCATAAACTTTTACAACAAAGACTCCACACCCTCCATGCCCTCTGTCGCCACACACCTTCTGTTACTATTATACACCAGTATTATCCATCCTTCTCTACGGCTCCCCTTGTTACTTCAATATGCTCACCATCACCAACAGGAATAAACTCACAAAGGTCACACACACACAGCATCCAAAATTATCAGTTTGCCCAACACAGACCACTCCCACCTTAACAACAAAGCCGTCACACATGGCCTGGACAGTCAACAGGGACTCACACCACCCTCTCCACAAAAACTTCTGTTTACTGCCCTCCAGCCAGAGATACAGGACTTTAAGGTGGAAGTGGGCAAGCTTCAGTAAAACCTTTGTCCCTTCTACCATCACTGCTCTCAAGAGCCTACAGATTATCTGGACCTGAGTGTTCCTGTCCCGTGTCCATTTCTGTTGATTGTTTGTATCCATGTTTGACAGTGCCACTGTGGAGAATAAAGGTGTATCTATTCATCGGTTATATTTCTTACCCGTCTGGGTCAGTCTCCGAGGAGATAATCTTGACTCCAGGTTCTGTCCAGCAGGAAGAGAGTAGTACTTTTGGGATTTAGACACTGCCTAATGTAAAAACAAAAAGAAATATCATGAACTGTTCTGTGTGTTTCTGAGATCTATAAAAGGTTTGCAGTGTGAAAGTATCTTACAGAGCTCTGAAAGCTTCCAGGTCTGAGACTGCGCCGGATACTGGCATGACGCCGTATCAGGATTTCTTTGGTGTGCCGATCATTTGGCAGAGCATGTTTACTCGTGAAGGCCACAGTCTGTAAAAAGAAATATTACAATGATCAAACTCAACATCCACACTCAAACACAAAAGTCTACCAACTCATAACTTCTCTCATAATACATAACTACTGTATCTCTTTATGACGTAGGATCAGCTGTGTCCAATTTTGTGAAAGACGAAACTAAAGAACAATACTGTTGGAGAAACCAGCAGCTTATCTGTAATGTTTGCGTAAAGTACAGTTTGTAGGAACAGGGTGGCGTTAGTAACTTGAGAGCTTTTAACATAGTTAGGTCATTAGACTACTGCAGAACAGAAGCACATGCTCTCCATTTGTCTGAACATCAAAGTAAAGAGGCTGACGTCCTGTGGAAAAGTACTGGTCTGTGTTTGTATCTGTGTTTGTATGTTATGCAAAACAGTGAGTTTCAGGGCTTGGTCATGTCAAACACACAGGCTCCTCTTTACAATGACACATGACAAAAATACCATTTGATGCACCAAATCATAGAAACCTGTATAAATGGTCATGTTAGTGGAGCTTTTTGTACAAGAGATAAGTAAAGATCCTGTATTACACAAAATTGACTCTGGTGAGCTTTACGCCACGTTAGAATATTGTTACTTCCTCAAATACATACCTGTCGTTTTAATTAATTTTAATTCATTCACACATGTTTGAGTAATCCTTTATCTGTTTATATCTCCAAAGCTCAAAATGCTTTATTCCACCTTGTGATGTAATTTCATAACAAAGTTCACAGCTACCTTTTCCCTCTTGTTCTGTAGAGATTGACTGAAATGATCCGAATGATTCTAGTGTAGGTGTATGGAGTTTAAAAACACAATGGAGCACTTTCTATATCACCACATGGCATCACAAGATGGAATAGAGCTTTTTTAGTTTGAGAGAAGAACTCAATCATATGTGAATGAAATAAAATACAAGTCCAGGTATGTTTTTGATGAGGAAACATCATAATAACAGATCAGAAAATAGCGTAACATTGGCCTTTTAATAAAAAACTTAGCATCTTACCCGTTGTCTGATCTTGTACATGTTCTTGGACAGAATATCATGCATGTTACGTAAATCACTGGCCACAAACATCTTGGGTTTTGGATTCTTCTTTTCTTCACTATTAAAAATGCACATCAAAAACCTCAATGAATCTATCTAATCAGGTGCAATGGAGAAAAAAACACATGCATGTTGTAGACTTACTATAGTGACACAATGGATGGAGCAGCACTGATGTCCCCAGCCACAGTGTCCAGAATCTCCATGGCGTTTTGCAGTTCAAGCTTTTTATATAAAGCCACAATACTCGACTCAGCGCGGCTGTCCCGGATGAGGATTTTACGTAGGATCCGATTGTTGAACTTCAAAAATCTGAAATTACAAATAATAATACAAATAAGCTTGTCATGTTTGCTCCAGATGAATCTGTTAACTTATAAAAGAATTGATAGAAAAGAAAATAAAAGAAATCAATAACAATACAGTTACATTAAAATCAAGGGAATAATGGAAGATGTCTAATCATATACAGCAGATTCATGTACGTTAATTCATTTTCTAAGGTGAAGAAAAGTGTACAATATGTGTGTTGCTCAAGGTAAAATAAATAGTAAGGCACAACAGCAATTTTAAAAAGATAAGCAGAAATGCAATCTGACACCACACTGAGGGAGGCTGCCAGCATTCCCACAGTGTCCATGCGAGAACAATATTCAAACAATGAGAGGGCTCTATGAGTTTCACTGGAAAAATAAATTCTGTTTGAGCTTTATTTTTGTATTTTGGTGTTTTTCTTGTTGTTCTTACTTGTCTTTCCAGTAGAAGTGGCTCCACTGTCCACAGAGATCCTCAATACCAGCTATAGTGTGCTCCATGAGCTGTGGGAATGAAAAGCACAGGTTAAGACTGTTTAAGATGCTTCATATTAACAAATAGTTACACTGTCTCTTACCCTACAGTGGACTTCAACGTTGATGGTTTCAAGATTGCGGTTCGTCTTCCGAACATTTATGAACTCAATCAGAGGTCGGATACTGATTCCCTGTAAATAAATACAAAACACACATTAAAAACAGTGGTAAATGCCTTGCACAATGCTTTGACTGTACCCATACACGAACTCCCACCTGCAGGAACACTGTGAAGAGGATGACGGCGATGGTGGCTGTGATGAAGAGCTGCTTGCGCCCAATGTTGTCAGGCAGAGTGAAGGCCAAGGCAAAAGAAATGGCCCCCCGGAGACCACCATAAGCCAAACCAAACTGATCCTTCAGGTTGAATGGGATGGTCCGGAAAGGGTTAATGATCTGAGTCAGCACCAGCACACCTGAAGCAAGCAAACACAATACAGTTCTCCATATTACACATTTACACTGCCTGGAATGTTCCACACTATAGCATTAAACTTATCCATCTTGCATTTATTCAATTACAGCTTTTTATTGATAAATATACAGCCATTTTCACTGTGAGCAGGCTTGCCTCTCCACAGATCTGTTGGTTCACGTGATGGCACCATCTACTTGCCAACATGGAGATAGACAAGTTTAATGCTACGCTGTGAAACATTCTTGGCATGGAGACAAGCAAGGATTCATCCACCATCAAAGTTTAAGTATTCAAGAAGGCTGTTCTTACCTAGACCCCTCCAGACAAAGGCAAACAGCAGAGTGAACAGGATGTAACCCCAGTTCCACTCATGCACAGTTGTTATGGTAACCACACCCAGGAAAAAGAAGATGAGGGTTTCCGAGATGGAGCCCAACATCTTAACAACATGGCGGATGGTCGTGCATGAACGCTGAGAGACATTTTCCTCCACGTAATATTTCATGGTAAGGGCACAAGTCACAATCCTGCAAAAAATAAACATGTTATATTTTCAACTCATATTTAAAAGATGCACTGTGTAACTTTTTGGTTGGGGGTCTGTCACCTGCTTGTTTCTATGGGCATGTAATTGCTCTACCTGGAATGTTCCACTGTATGACATTAAACAGCTCTACTTTAGATTTATAAAATTACAGTTCATTTTATTGCTCAAAAATACCTAGAAAAAAATTCTGACTGTCAGCGGGGTTGCCTCTCCACGGATGTGACAGGCCCTCCGCCAGAAAAGTTACACAATGCACCTTTAATAAACAAAATTAACATTTCTTATACTGATTCTTACGCCATGATAGAAGAAATAGCAAACAGCTCAGCCACCAGGTACGCCAGGTAACTGAACATGAAGATAAAGAGGGGCTCGATCTCTCGGACTTTAGAGGTGAATCTTGTGGTAAACGCAGAGACAAAACCAAACAGGACCCCGAATGCCATCCCCCCGAGTCCTACTACGAAGAACCGAGCAACCCCGAGGAACACGTCCACTGGTTCCACCACAGGCATGTCTGCCACGAAGGTGAACATGCTGTACAAGACCTGTGACACAATACACACAGTTAACAGTTAACAGTGACCACACGAAACTCCAGGTCACGTTTAGGGCATGTGTCAAGTTTTAATCAGAGGGTTTGACTTAAGATAATATTATTGCCATATTTACTCTGTACTGGTCTGTAGGCACAAAGAGTGACTCATCAAAAACACTAATCTGATTTTATCTCACTCTGCCTTATAGAGGTGGGTATAGATTAAACCTATTTAACATGAGGGAGACAAGTAGGTTACAGCACTAAGCTACATTACTATTAACATCTATGGAGAGGCACTCCTATTCATAGAAGGAATTATTGAGACAAGCAGGTGGTGGAAAAGTTGAAAAGTGCACTTTAAATTTTAAAGTTCTTTCAGTTTTTCCCTATTCATTTATTTTTGACCCTCTTGCCCACCCCAGTGCTAATTGTGTATTTCATTAGAGCAGACATGTCAAACTCATGCCCAGGGGCCAAATTTGGCCCACGATATAATTATATTTGGCCCGCAAGATCATATGAAATGAGCTGGCACTGGCTACAGATAGGCTATAGGGACATTATTTACTTAAAATTTTGTTATTATTTTATATTATGCTTGTTCTGGATTCAATGTTTAAGCAAAGGTATTTTTAAACATTTATTTTAATAAGAAAAGGTTTAACATTACATCTCTCGACAGAAAAGAAAACTGCTGAAAATTTTCAATAAATATTTAGTTTGGCCCACAACTTAGTCGCAGTTTTTAATTTTGGTCCTCTGTGAATTTGAGTTTGACACCCCTGCATTAGAGAAGACACTTCTTTGGATACATATTAAAATAAACATAGTGAAATAATTAAACCTATCTTGTTTAATGACAAAATTAAACAGTACTTTATCATTTATAACAAGATACTGAAAAATAATATATGCTTTAGTCTGGGTGTCTGCACAGCTCAAAACCATCATGTAAAATGTCCTGTTAGATTTGTATAACTCTATGGCACAGAGCAGGGAGTTCATACATGGGTCTCGTGGGTAAATGTTTGTCTTTACGATACTGAATCAGCTCTGCTACTGTGTTTTCAACAAAAGGTTTGCCACACCAAAGAGATGAGTGTTAAATTGAGATGGGCGTTTGAACACAAGAGGACAGAGAAAGAGGGGAAATCTGAGGAGCTACCCAGTCTGGTAAACGAAGAGCTGCTCACTGCTCCTCCCTTCAGGCAAATGAAACAGTCAAGAGTAAAACTGGTTAAACAGCATCTGAGCAAACTCTACAGGGGACCGTTTGTCCTGCTGGCGTCAACATACCTCTACTTCTGCATCCAAGGCAAATAAGCTATATGCACAGAAAGTTACTCATAACTTCTCTATTTGTGAGTAGGGGTGTCCAAATTTTTTTTTATCAATGGTCTTAAAAAAGTGAAGGACTGATGGGTGTTTTAGACTGATGGTGGATACAGAGAATAATTCAGATATCTGCATTTATATAGGTTAGAATGAGCCACCAGACTGATCTATTCATGCTTAGATCCTCAGTAGAGCCCTACATATTGAATGCTGGCTTTATCAAGGTAAATTTTCAGAAAGTTGCAGTTAAAAAGTACTGCTTAAGGTAATATGGGACATATCAACTAGAAGCTTGTGGGCCAAAAAAAAAATAGGTCTAAGGGTTGCATCTGGCTTTAACATTTTCAGTAATGATGGAACAAATATATCACTACGAATAGGTAACAAAAGAAGTAAAACCTTAAAGTCTTCTGTAGGGCCCTATAAACACTAAAAGAAACATTTATGTAAATATTCTCTAGTTGCAGAGTCCTTAAAAATTATTAATACCAATACCAAGAAGTACTGTTACTGAAAAAATTTATCCTTCCTGAATAATTTTAGAATCTTGATTTTAATCAAAACTAGTATAAGACCACATGATAACATTATAGAAACTACTATGTAATGTTGAAAACAAAATTTTTGATTTTTGATTTTTTTTACATATATGTTTTATATATTTATATTTATTTATTTTTATATTTCAATTAATTGTACCAAAAAAGGTTTTGAATATCAAATCTTTTTCTTTCTCCTCAAAATTGTGTTTTAAATATTAGCATCAAGACAAAACTAACTCCATGTTGTGAGCCTAATTTCTAACTTCTGCATTTACATATCTAAAGACATCTTGTAGAGTAACTTGAGTTTTCACTTGGCCTTAGATGTTTTGGCCAGATATGAGTGGAGACAGTGTCATGCATTCACCCACTGCTCTTTAAGTCTGTATGTTTTGACAACAATCAAACGTCAGATAGAAATGCCGAGTGAGTCCTAATGCGCACGAACCATTAGCAGCCTGGTATTGTGTACTGGGATCTCGTTTAGGGTTAATCTACTCACCACAGTGACGGCATCGTTAAAGAGGCACTCCCCAAACACTACGATGTAAAGCTGCTCGTTTACAGAGACATCCTCAAACACGTTCAGGACAGCCACTGGATCCACAGCAGAGATTATGGTGGCAAAGAGTAGGTTCTCCTGTAGATTGATATCCTGAACGCCAAAAGCTTCAATCTGACATACAGCAAAAAGAGACATCCCTATTCCGATGCTGTTCCATAGTGTACCCACCACTGCAAACCACAGCACCTGAAATACAAAAACAACAAACTGAGATTAAAGGTGCACTGTGTAACATTTCTGGATCAAGCGTTCGCCAACTGCTTTTCTTCATGAAGATGCTATTGGTTTGTCTGGCATGTTTCACAGTATTGTATCAAACATTCCTATCTTAATGGAGACCAAACCAGACCAAGTTACAGGTCACATCTGTGGAGAGGCAACCCCACAGTCAGAATGCCTGTTTTTCTAGATATTTTTGAGCTATGAAACCACCTGTAATTTAATAAATGCAAGGTAGTCTGTTTAATGTCATACTGTGGAGCATTCCAGGTAGAGCAACAACATATTCATAGAAACAAGCAAGAGACAGACCCAAAAGTTACATAGTGCACCTTTAAACAGACAATACATGTGATTGTCAGTGTTGGGACGTAACTGAATATATGTACTGAAAATACATCACCTGAATACTAATTTTAAGTAACTGTATTTTGGTACAGTTACTTTTTCATTAGGTGGTATTGAGAATACAGTAACTTCCCTAAATTATAAATGGAATACAAGAGAGTACTTCATGTAATTTTGAGTTTGAACTGTATGGCATTAGTGAGCAAAAAAGAAAACATTTAATGCGTGTATGTGTAATTTTTTGTCTCCATTTTTACATAAACTAATGCATAACAACAAAAATAAAGTTGTTTATAATAACGTGTCACATTTTTACACTATATTATACAATTCAACATATAATTATCCAATTATTCAGAATACAGTAGTCTGAGTGGACTATGTAAGAGAATAGAGGTATTATAAATCTCTACTGCGCATGTCTCCTACAGAAAGAGCTGCTGTCCTATCCATGGATCTATAATAATAATAAGATTTTATTATAGTTCTTGTATCATGTCACTGTGTTGTAGGATTTAAGCAGATTTCAGGCTCTCTCGAGGGCTAGGCTAATTGTATTGATCAGGTATGAGTGGATTTTCAGCTACTGAAGATTGAGCCATTTACACACCCAGCTGCTTTTAACACATACCGGTCATTAAGATGTATCTCACTCACTAATGTTCCCATCACTGGTGATTTGGGAGAAACGTACCGTTCCAATGTTCTCAAAGAAGGGCCTGGTGGGCATGAAGTAGCCCGAGTCCAGAACAATGGGAGGGAGCATGTAGAGGAAAAAGACATTACTGGTCAAAACTGCAGGAGGTTCCTCATGGACAGAGTGCATGATGGCTCCAACTATGAGGCCGATACTGATGAGCAGGCAGGACTCTGGCACCCAAACTGTGATTTTATGGTACACATGGAAACCTAAGGGAAAGAAAGGGGGTCCTGAGTTAAGATGAAAAGCCAGAAAAAACACACACACACAAACACACACAAATTTTTTTGAAAAGGAGGGGGGAGGATTATTCAAATTACTCACCAATCTTTGCAAATGAAGCTAATAGAACCCACAATGTCACTTCAAATGGGATCTGTATTCTAGGGTAGTCCATGGTAAACACTGGTAGACTGGCCTTTTCTGCATCAGGGTAAGCCTGAGGTCCATCCATTGGTTTAATTGGGGGTAAAATGGTAACACTACGGGTTGGTTTGGGAGGCACCTCTCCATTGGAGCCAAGAGTTAAAAGACTACAAATGAAAAGTATAAACCCTGCAGATCTGGAAAATCCGATATCCATTTTTGCGAATAAATAACAAGGTCACAGTGAAGAAAAGTTAAACTTCCAAGTTGTGCTGAATCACTCCATAAGTTAAAACATAAATAAAAGTAAAGCGTGCGTGCTCCTTAACACGTTCCACGAATAAAAGTCCCTTTCATGAAGATCCCATCACGTTTCAGATATTTGATGATCGTTGCGTTGCCTTCGTTCAGCGCAGGACTGCACAGGACTACACACCTGAAGCCTGTCTGTGGCCTTTACAAGTTCCGATAGGTGCAGGGTGCGGTCCACAGCGCTTCTGATTGGTTGTCATCCCGAGTCTCTGCGCCCATTGAGGAGGCAAACTTTAGTTTCGGTGACAAAGCTTCCATCCAGAAACACAATGAAGTTTCAACTTTCACACTAAAAACTGGTTTGCCATCTTACTAGGCTACTCATGGACTTCCTGTTGATAGGCGACATTTGGAGGACCTTTGCCTATTAAGATAAAGGCTATAATATAACTTTTATCACTTTATACTGTTAATTGCGGAGTGGCTAGATTGGCCTAAATCGCCAGTCATTATTTACCAAAATTACTTTTTGTCTCTTTAACTAGATTTTAGACTCAGTTGTCAGATTTTATATTTAAAGGCTTGATAGACACACGCTTGGTATTTGTTTTAATGTTAACTTCCATTTTTCATGTGTAATTAATCCTACAGTCTGTAAATTTCCCTCAGATGATGCGCACAATGAGACAGGTGCTTTGACCGTGCAGCGCTGGCGTCCTCTGGTGGAGAGGACAGGCCCTGCAGCAAGAGGAGGCATTACGTCTCGATGTGGAGTCTGGGCGAGTCTTGATTGCAGATGCCGTCGAGAACGCAAGCAGGATGCTAGAATTGCAGCGAGACATCTTGTAATTTCATCAAGAGGTATGCTTTTATTCTATATTGACCACATTTCAAACGCGTATCGTGACAAATAGACGTTTAAAGTCAGTTTATTAACGCAACTCATTGTAAATAAAGCCTCGATCCATCTCGACACCAGATCTGACTGAACCATTTGTATTGATTCAGGATGTGTTTTAGCATCTGTGTTGCGGGTTTTGGTTACACTGTGCGCCCTGTATCACGCGCACATTCAGTGAAGGTGCAGTAACACCATGACGCACACATTTGTTTTTGTGATCAGGTAAACAGTTTTACTCCGATATGCTATAACTGTCAGACTATTGGTCCGTTCTACTATAAATAGACATAATTTTGACTCCTCGGTATGTCTCCGTATGTTCTTCATTGAGAGATCATTTTGCACGGATTGCTCACGCGGGGCACTAATAGGCCAAGAGATTATTAGGAGTATGTTGCATTTCTCTATGACGTCTAATCCCGGATATGATGCTTAGGAAGTAGTAGGGTCTCATGGTGCCTCTATGAGCCCACTCAGGTCTCACAACAGAACAGGCCTCACTGATGCTCACCTACAGAACATGCCTACTTAAGGGTAAAGGAGCAGTAGGCCTATTAACTCACCCATCATGTGAAATAGATTTGTGCTTGTAAAGGGTTAGTACTATTACAGGGACCAGGGCAGCTCATACTTATGTGTTCTGATAATTTGGGTAGGTCAGTATGTTAATGCCTGTGTAATACGTCTCTCCTAAATCTAGAGGTTGAGGTATCCCAGCTCAGGACACCAAAAGTTTGATAAAGGAACAAAAAGATATTGCCTATATCAGGCTTACAAAGGGACTAAAAAAAGTAATGACAGAGCAGAATATATACCAAACATGCAAATGATATGGATGGGGGTGAACTAGGGACGGACAGTTTCACAGATCCACAGATCCTGCAGTGCAGCTGCATCTGACAGCATCTGCAGGGGGCAGCTGTTTACAGCCAGCAGCTAATAACCGGGTCACCGCCCTCAGAAACCCCCCAAGACCCTGAGAACGAACATAAATGCCCCATTTACATTCATGTCTACATTTGAGGTCAGAAAGGCCCACCCTGAAAAAGAGATGATGCATCTCAGGGGCAATCCAAAATAAATAAATATTAAAACCCCCAGGACCACCTTCCAGTCAACAAAGATTTAAGGTGCAGGGGGTGGTGGGCGTCAAACACAGCACTGAGGATAATGAAGATAGTGGGTTTCCTAGTGCTTCACATGCAGGAGCCTGGACTGATTATAGATATAAGACCTCTCACTCACATAAGTCTAATGAGACATTTACATGGTCGCACTTGTATCAAATCACAGATGGACCTGTATTCAGCTGGGTGCTGTGTGTCACTATGAGCCTGTACTTCCATTCATGCTCGATAAGTGACGTCAAACTGTCACATGTGTAAAAATAGACTGCCATGCATACGCTTCAATGCTTACTACTTTTCCTTTTGTTGTATCTAAGGCTAAACAGGCATATTGCAGAGGCCTGGTTTGTTGGTTGGGTGGTAATTTTATGCTTAAAAGAGGAAACGTTACTTGAGTCTAAATTTAATATACTTCTCTAGGCAACATATTTCATTTCTCGTTTATCATATGTATTATATCCTTACTGTGTTCCATACTTTCTTAATATTAGAACCAAATAAATTATTTCCTATGAGTCTTCTCTAAAATATAACCTACAAAAAGTAAAGTTGCATCAGGAAGTCCGTGGTGCAGAGACCGTTGGATCTTCAGCAGCTGTGTGAAAAGTCACACTTGTGTCTCAGTGAAAATGCCGCTGCTTATATTAGCACAAGAAAATTTAGTGGTAGTTAGATAGACACATTTATACTAGAAATGTTAGTATAATAACATGTGTTATGTCAGCATAATAATGTTAGCAACTAAAAACTCTCAGTGAATTGTATATATTTTCTTTCAGATACAGTAAATCATGACAAACACGTCTTGGCAGCCAATAAACAAAGCGTGTTTCTGAAGAGTCTGCTCTGCTGTTCCCCCTCTCCTCTCTTTGCCTTTCCCTGAGACACGTGCCGTCATGTCGGGCAAAGAGCGCAGCCCGAGGCACCGGCCCTGGTCCGTCTACAGGGCCAACACGTTTGATCTGTCAGCAGAGATGATGGGGCTGGCCCTTGCAGGTAACCTAGTAACCACCGCCATGGAAACCTGTGAAACGCACCAATGATGATGGGACATGAAAAGATCATGTTTGTCTTTTGTTTGTGCCTCAGGAAGTAGTCAGGACCCGGATGAGCCTGTGCTGGAGTTTAGTCTGGGTAATGACAAATCTTTAATGAATAATTTAACGATTGAACCATAATAACCATTACAGAGTTATTCGAGATATGAAATCCTTTACCTCAGCAAATCCTCTAACACCATACAGAAATTACTATATATATGTTTTAAAGTTGACATACATTGTCATTTCCCCAGTGTGTTGTTCTCCCCCAGTTGTAGATTAATGAGAATCCTCCTGATAAATCCTGCCATTTGCAATCTGTTGTGTTTAATGTTGTCTCAGCCTGCAGTGAACTGGTTACTCCAGCGTTGGACCGTAAGCCCACCAGCTTTGTGGCAGTAAGCTGCACCACTCCTCCACAGGCTTTCTGGACCAAACACGCTCAAACCGAGATCATAGAGGTCTGTATCCAAATACTCAAAATATTCAAAATACTTTCAGGCTCTCATCACAATAATTCATCTGCATCATTATTTTACAAGATCTCTTCTTTTTCAGGAATAAAAACAAATTTTGCTCAGATCAAATGAAAATGTTTTTTATTTATTTGTTTCCAGGGTACAAGTAACCCTATATTCCTCAGTAGTATAGCATTCTTCCAGGACTCCATGATCACTCAGCAAACTCAGATCAAACTCTCTGTCTACGACGTGAAGGATCGAACACAGGGAACGGTGAGCTCCCACCTAAAGCTCTGACCTAAACTTTAGTTTAATACTGGAGGATTTGGGGAGTATGTGCACATATTTTTGACAATGGGAAATTCAGTTGCATTATTGTTTATCCATGTCTTTGCAGTAAAGCTAACCTACGCTTGGTATTTATGTTTTTCTGTTGTGTTACAGATGTATATGTTAGGTTCTGCCATGTTTCCAGTGAAGGAGCTGCTCCAGGACAAACACCATAGACTGCACTTGACTCTGAGGTAATCTCACACACATACACACACAGGAACACACGCACACTCACACTCACACACACGCACTGACGCGCATACACATAACAACCGCTGACCACATCCTCCATGACGTTGACCACCATGTCATTTTGCATCAGGTCAGCAGAGAGTGAGCGTGTGGGGAACATCACTGTGATCGCCTGGCAGATGGAAGAAAAGAGGGAGCCGAGGGCTCCTGGGCCCAGGTTACAGAGAGGAGACACTGTTAATGGCAGGGTAAAAACTAAACTGACTTTGCCATTATTGCTTGTAAAGTAGAGATTAATATAGTATTATCACGTATAATAAAAAATAATTATATATTTGAGTATATTGCAGGATATAGAGCTAAAACATTGTAAAGCAAACAAACAAAAAAAATCTATTATAGCCATGTGGACTGACTTTTAGGTCAATCCATTTTGTTCTCAAGAGTTCAAAATGTTCTGCTTCACCAGCTGGTGGGAAGAGGTAGTTTATTATAAAAAAAAAACAAAAAAACACTGTATCAATGTGATTTTGTTCATGAGTACTTAAAAGCCTGAACACGAAAATGTGTTTTAACCCTGTGTGTTGCATTTCAGATGGTCCTACCTGTTGACCAGAGTCTAACTGAATCCATGGGCATTAAGTCCAAGTCATCTTCTATTTGTAAAGATCCACTGCTCAAGGCTGGTAAATAAGTTTAAAACATAAACAAACAAAAATTATAATAATTGATAATGGTTTATGGTGACTATGAGCTGAACTGTGTTCCAGTGTTTGGGGGCATAATGTCACGTACTTACCGGTTTCCCATGACGGACGGAAACCACCTCCGTATCCTGGAGCAGATGGCCGAGAGCGTGCTCTCACTGCACATCCCTCGACAATTCGTCAAACTGCTGTTGGAAGAGGACGCAGTCAGGTGATGAATAGTCCTGATTATCAAATGACTTAGCCAAACTTTATTGATCCACAACAGAAATTATTTGGACATGTTTTATATATCTTTTCTCAGTATTTTTCTGTTCCAGTATCTGAAATACTCAGTATTCTGTAATTTATTTGGTATCTGTATACAATAGTTTGAAAAATCAAATGAGTTCAGTTCTTTGTAATTGCTGTTGCCATATGTGAATGACTCCATTAGGCTTATGATTCACAGTGTGATCCCCATGTTTGTAACCTCGGGTAGAACGCAGTTTGACACATCCTCATTAAACTGCAGTGTAACTGTGTGTGACTGTATCTGACTATCTGACTGTGTGTGACTATATCTGACTATATGTGACTTTATCTGACTGTATGTAAGTGTGTGTGACTGTATCTGACTGTATGTGGATGTGCTACAGGGTGTGTGAGCTGGAGGAGCTCGGTGAACTGTCCCCGTGTTGGGAGAATCTCCGCAGGCAGATCATCACCCAGTACCAGACGATCATCCTCACCTACCAAGAGACCATCAGTGATCTGCATGAATACAAAGGTTAGCAACTACAGATGGGAGGCCACACCAAAAATAAAATCACATATTTACTCAATTCGACTATAGATTATTCTGTTATTATATGTTTGTTATATTGCTGATAGGGCCTTCATTTAAGTCTAGTACTTTAAAAGCTGAGAAGAAGTTGGAGTTTATTCCCACTAACCTGCACATTCAAAGGATGAGAGTCCAGGGAGAGTCGGGATATGGTATGTATGTGCATAAGGCTACCCAATGCTCTTGGTAAAGTGCACAAATAATGTTTTTTATTTATTTATTTTGTTATTCATACAGACCGAACATATGACGTAGTAACTATTGGAGCTCCTGCAGCACATCATCAGGGTTTTAAAGGCTGTGGACTCAGGAAAATGGTGCAGAAGCTTGACGATGCCAGGAAACAGTAAGTAGAGAAGGGTGTACAAATATTAATAAGACACAATATATTTATTATAACAACCTTTGTCCTTTTCATATCCACCCAGTACCTATGCAGAAGACAGGTGAGCATCATTCTGCTAATACTTACACTAGGCACACTGTTTATCATATTTTACTATTGTATGTGTTAAGCTCTTCTAGCTCTGCCTCAAAAGGACTGACCTATCAACAGCAGGATGTAGTGAAGGCCAAAGAACTGATTGGTCAGATTAACACGCTAAAGACACAAGTCTGTTACTACATCGAGCGTCTGTCTCGAGCTGCAAAAGAACGCTCTGCAAATGCAATGGAGAGGACCCTGGCCATCCTCAAAGAGAAGGTGCACACTTTAAAACCCTTGCTAAACATTCATTTGAACTGTGTATTTCATATTGCTAATTGTACTATATTATTACAATTATGACCAAAGTAGCAGAAAAATCCTTAATTCACTTTCATTAACGTTGTAAAATAAACCAAACAGACCCCAACATGTGACCATCTGGATCATGTAGAGCATTTTGTACATTTTGAGAACAAAATGACGAGACTCCTTGCCACAGTTAGAGAGAGAGGGGAACAATGCTTTAATATAATGTAAATGTCAACTGGAACCAGAGTTGATGGAGCCAGAAGCACCTCCATGCTCTCTTCCTATTTGGAACATGGTGGCTAGGGGGTTAGCTACAGTATGTCCATTTATATATACACTCTATGTCAGTGTTTCCTGAACTTTTTTTCTGGGAACCCATATTTTAAAAGTCACAAATCTTCACAACCCAAGTTAGTAGACATTAGCAGCTTTGCACACATTTGTTTACGTTTTACAGAAACAAAACTTAAACCACATGGCTAATTTGCATAAACTAAGTGATAAAAAAAAACAAAAAACAGCTCACTCCTTGTGCGCTGATGCGATCAGCTTCCATTGGACTAAAGGACACGACTCAGTGGAATATATGTGAAAATCAGTTCGAGGTCAGTAAGCACAACCAGAATTAATATATAAAGCGCATTGTCTATTTTTCTGAAAATTAAGGGATTTTAAGTGCATTTATAGTCCGAAAAATACAGTACTCAAGTTTTAAACAAGGAAAAACAGTAATAAGTGTTTCCCACAGAAAACTAGTTAGGCAAGGCGGTGTTCCCGAAAAAGTGAGGAGCGGGGTGAGCAGAGATTGAGGTGTGCGGAGATGTATGTATATGTATATTGCAGGCCTACATACAGATCGTGACAAGGCGACCCAAAAAATCTCTTGCTACCCAACTGAGGGTCACGACCCAGTCTTTTTGAAACAGTGATCTCTGGTGTAGATGTAATTGAAGTAACTTTATCTCGCTAGGTCTTATGTTCTTCTTACATCTATATTGTAAGCAAATGATTTTGACTATTGTACAGATAGAATACTCATGGATTCTACCTGGACGACTGGGGGATTCTTCTCACAGATTTTGACTATCCTCCATCTTGAGGATGTCATCTCACACTCTCAGATGGGACTTTAACTAAATTAATATTCCTGTTTGGATTTTTTTTATGATAAACACTCCAAAAGTTGCATATATGATAGGCAACGTCCTGGATCTGATTTAGCTCTACAGTGATCACTACTCACTAATATCAGGCTGTTCTCTTTCATCTCTCTACATTCAGACCCATCAGCTGGTGACAGTGTGTGACTCCAAACTACTGTCCGCTGCCATTTTGGCCCTAGCATCCGCTCGCCCTGAGTCCACCCATCACAGCACCCCCTCCCCCTCTGCCTCTTCCCTCTCCCCCTCATCCAGGTCCCCCTCTCGCTCCCCATCACGCAACCCTACCTCTCCCTCCCGCATGGCCATCTCACCCTCGCGACAAATAGCTCCTCCAGACAGCAATGAAGGGACCAAAAGTAAAAGGATGTCTATGCAAACAGATGCACATGAAGAAGAATGGGTGAGGACACATGATTTTGTCTTTTCTATTCAAGAGTTTGGAGATTTTTTTCATGAAATTAATTATTTATATGCAGGAAAATATCTGGCTAAATGTTGATAAAAGTCTAGAGTGTGTGGTCCAGAGAGTGGAACGACTCCTACAAAAAGACCAAATTCAAAGTGACAGTAGTTCTGAAGATGTTTTCCTTCTCGCAAATGAGGAACAAAGCACATCAGAAGTCAAAGGTTTGCACTATTTTTGGTATTTACAACTTTCATGATTGTAATACATGACTGAAGTATTGATGTTATTGTTTACTTTACTATATTTACAGATAATAGCCCAGAAATAGAAAAGACATCCCCAGGTAAAGATGCATTAAAGGCTTAAAGGTGCACTTTCCAACAAGGATCCACCACCTACTTAACTCCATAGAAATGTTATTGCTTTGTCTAGAATATTTCAAAGTATAGATAAAACCTACCTATCACAAGAGACAAGCAGGTTACAGCACTACGCTACATTATAATTCAGATCTGTGGAGAGTTGCCTGTATTCACAGAAGGAATTCTTGTATTTTTGAGCAATAGAAACACCCGTAATGAATAAATGCTAGATGGATATGTTTAATGTCATACCATGGAACATTCCAGGCAAAACAATAACATCTTCATGGAGACAAGTAGGTAGTGGAACCACCAGAAAAGTTGCGCAGTGCAACTTTAATAATTAGCACATGTAGGACATTATTCATTTTGCATTACATAATTTAGCACATTTTAGAATCAAATCAAACACTAATATGATTGATTCTTGTTTTTAAGCTGAATGGGGTGAGATCTTGTATCCCCTCCTCACAACACTGTCAGACTGTGTGACCCTCATGAGTGACAAAGCTAAGAAAGCCATGGTATTTCTACTGATGCAGGACAGCGCCCCAACTATTGCTATGAGCCTCTCTGTCCAGTACCGCCGAGATGTGGTCTTCTGCCAAACAGTGAGTTTTCATTATAAATCTTTTGCTTTAGATATATTTCTAACTGATATACGTGTGTCCCATTTGCAGCTCACAGCTCTCATCTGTGGTTTTGCTGTGAAGCTGAGGACAAGCCTCTGTGACTCAGGATTTCTCCGACAGCTCCATACCATCGGCCTGTTGGTGCAATATGAAGGCCTCCTCAGTACTTATGGTAACAGCATGCTATATTGTAGAAAGCAATAACATAATCAAAATACGAGAAACAAAAACAAAAACATGCCTGGAGTTTTGTTTTTTTCATTCACACATGTTTGAGTAATGAATCATGCTCTGTTCCTCCTTGTGAATCCTTGTGTATCATGGAGCTGTAATTTTCAAGTTAACAGCTATCTTTTACCTTTAGCTCAGTATAGTTTGGAAAATCCAGGGCTGAACTAATCCAAATGATGAAGGTGAAGGTGTGTAGAGTTTAAAAACACAGTGGCACACGTCTTGTATTACCACACGACATAAATGTTGAATGTTTTTCATTTGAAAGAAAAACATAGCCTAAATATGTAGGCTGTGTGTTAAACGTGTGAATGAAACAAAAAACATGGGGGAGACAACATTATAAAATTGATCAGAAAATGGCGTAATACAGACCCACTTAAAGGTGCAGTATGCAACTTTTTGGGAGGAAAGTACGCTACCTGCTTGCCCCCATGCCTGGAACGTCTATCTCCATTGTCTTATCTTATATCTTATTGTCTTATCTCCATTGACATATGTTGATTGTCTGTGGAAAGGAGACCCCGTTCACTGTAAGAATGCATGTTTATCAAGGAAACCGCAATAAAATCTCCTAAAAATAAATACATGCAGACAGATAGTTTGAATGCCCTCCAACATTCCAGCTGTAGGAATATCACGGACACAAGAAGGCCCCCCCGTTGGAAAAGTTACATAGTGCACAAAACTGTAGAGAAAAAACTTTGAATGTATATTGCATATTATCATTTTCATTTGTAATATATATTATAAAAGTGATATTGTTTTTTACAGGGGAGGAGCTTGCTATGCTGGAGGATATGAGTGTTGGTGTTATGGACTTGAGAAATGTCACCTTTAAAGTTACTCAAGCGACTTCAGGTTTTGGGCCAGACATGCTGCCAGTGATCACAGGGAACAGAAACGGCTTCAATGTCCGAGTAGCTTTACCGGCGGCCATGTTTGAGTCATTGCCACGAGAGATCCAGAACGGGATGTTGTTGCGCGTTCAGCCAGTCCTGTTTAATGTGGGCATCAATGAACAGCAGACACTGGCAGAGAAGTAAGTCACACTCTCTTGTATAAACAAACTTGAACAGGCACTCACCACAAGAGCTGTGTTTTCTTTTTCTCTTACTAATACCATGCAGTACAAAGCCAAAATTGCATGAAGTACTGTCAAGTATTCCTTAAATTTTAGAAAAGTCACTGTTTACTTAATTAGCCAGGCTGGCGCCACCTAGTGCCTCAGCTCAATTTAATTTCTCTCCAGCGACTAGGTCAGGAATCAGAATACACTAGACAGTTTGCAAGAACCCCGGAAGTGCGAGTTCAGGCTCCAGCCAATGAGTGAAGGACCATACAGTCTGTGTTGGCAACGATTCCCGAGATCGAGGATTTAAAGCCAGAACAAAGTGAATGTTTGATGAATTTTATCAAGGGGAAAGACATTATTGCCCTTCTTCCTATGGGACTTGGGAAAAGCTTAATATACCAGTTAGCCTCGTTAGCGGTGCATTACATACATCACGACCAAATAGCAGCGATTGGTTAAATGAAAAAAAGTACCCACCTACCGTCAAGCGAACGAATTCTAATGCTGTAAAATTAGACAGTTTGCACAAAGTGAAACTGGCTGATGAATCAGGCTAATATTTAATAGCAACAAGTATCTATATATATATATTTTTTTTTAAGTATTAAATTATATTATTAAAATGATCATTCTGAATATGTATTTTTATATTTAGTTACTTCCCAGCATTGAATATAAATGTCTAAATTTTCTAGGTTTGGAGACACAACGTTACAAGAAGTGATCAATACGGAAAGCATGACACGTCTTAGCTCTTATTATGACCAGTTCAAAGAAGTACTACCAGAGGACTGTGAGTATCAATACAAACACAGATCATTTTTTACATTTGTTTCTTACATTTTTTTTTTTTTTTTACATGTTGCTCTCCTCAGGCCTCCCCCGCTCCCGCAGCACCACCAGCCTGCTTGAGCTGCTCAAACAGCTGAGCCAAAATATCAAAGCCAAGAAAAACAAAAATGTGGAGATTTTGTGGCAGGCGGCCGAGGTAAACCAGATGGACAGGCTTTATGAGGTACACTATATTTCCAGGCAGAGATACTAAAAATAATATCATCACAGGTATGCCGTAGGTTGAATGGGGTACGCTTTACCAGTTGTAAGAGTGCCAAGGACCGTACTGCAATGTCCGTTACTTTGGAGCAGTGCCAGATCTTAGAGCAGGAGCATGGACTGGCCCCACAGGTTTTCTACCAGGCTTTGGACTGTATGCGCAGGTCAGTGGATAAATTAAGACACAATAGTGATTTTTAATCGTATTCTCAATTGAGTAATCACATTTTCTTTTTTATAGTGAGGGATGCAGACGAGAAAATACCATGAAGAATGTTGGATGTCGCAAATACGCTTTTAATTCCTTACAGCTCAAAGCCTTCCCTAAACAATACCGCCCTCCAGAGGGAACATATGGGAAAGTGGAAACCTAAGTGGACTTTATTTTGAAGAAATGAAAAGACTACAGAGAAGGACTATGATGAAATGACACAAAGAAAAACACCTACAAACATAGCAGTCACAACTAGTTCAAGTGCCAGAGTATGTTGTTTTAGCCATTATCCCTAAACAGTCAGAAAAATCATTACCTGCTCAGAACTAGTTCACAGCTTACTGTCATTGTCTGTGTCTGTGGGTATGCAGGTTATTACTGTTCTGACAACTATACTTTTAATAGTAGACCTGTTGCACAGTTATACAGCTATGTGTATTATCAGATCAGGCGATAAGAAAGAGACTCTGCTCCAACAAAGATGGCAAAGCCTTTTTAGTGATTTTGATATTCTCAGATTCCCTACAGGTGTCCATGTTATCGTGGTAAAAGACCAAGACCAGCAATGTCATTTTCTTATTGCACAAATGGAAACATCACTAATCAACCTGTTTAAATACTTTAATCACATGTAGTTTCTGCAGAGCAGTGTAAATACAATACATGGTAAATTATTTGTTTGCTAAAGACACACTGGACACCAAATCACTACATGAAACCTTGTTTGTCCAATATAGCCATTTTAAAAGTACATTATGTTTTTGTGGCGGACCCCATGGAGGTGTTATTGCTCAGCTTGTAATGTTCCACAGAATGGCATTAAATGTTTGTATCTTTTGTTCAGTTATAGGTATTTATATTGTTAAAACACACCTTGAAAAAAACAGGCATTCTTACTGTGAGTGAGCTGATGTAACTTGGTCTTGTGGCACCATTATTTTAGTTGGTCTCCACAGATCCGTTCAAGGCTGTATTGTGGAATATTCCAGGCAAAGCAGTAACATCTTCATGGAAATAAGCAAGCGGTGGTCTCTCCACCAGAAAAGTTATATTTAAGTCAGACATGTATCCCTCTCTGGACCTAATCTTCCCTGTTGTGCTGATGAATACAGAGCTATTGGGTTGTTGTAGCACATTTTGTTGTCTCTGCTCATTGTATCGTTTGTATTATCCATATAGTTGTTAGCATTCATTTCTGACTGTTCTAACAAGCACAATGTACAAATCACAGAATAAGCCAACTCAATTAGGCTTATCATAATGCAGTAATCCAGGAGTGGTTCTTCTTAACTAATAATAGGTTTTATTCCTTTGATGCTCTCATAAGAAGTAAGCAGCCTGTCACTTTAAGGTGCCGGAAGTGACGTAATGTCTTTACCTGACCTTTTTTTCCCGGGGCTCGTGCATGGCGAGGCTTCTTGCTTGTTATTTGCGGAGTGTAGCGGCAACAAGTGACTCATTTAAGCGGTCTGTTGGCAGGTAAGGACACTATAGTAATTAACCAAAATGAATACAATATATAGCCTATGTATCGTCTATACTTGGCAAACTGATCTCCTAAAGCCTACTGCAAGAAGCTTATTTTCTCGTAAATATTACAAAGAACGCAGAGGATCAGTTTGTTTAGTATAAATATGATAATGTCTGTTCTTACAAAAACACACTGTTCTTGTAGAGAAAAAGCTGAACAAACTGTATTTTTATTACTGTTCAAAGATCATCTGTGGTTGAGCATTTCTGGTTCAACTTTGCAAGAAGAAAATTTTTAACTCACTATAGTACATATTCACAGAAAGGTAAGAGAATGCATGCAAGTATTTTATTTTACAAGATTTATAGATTTTCAGGGTTCTTTTGTGTGTTTTTTCTGTGTTCTCTTTTTAGATTCTCCCAACATGAGTAAGAAGCTGCTGTTAGATGTTGACTGTGGAGTGGACGATGCTCAGGCCATTATGCTGGCCCTGGCGGCTCCTAATGTGGAAGTACTGGGCATCACATGTGTGCACGGGAACACTTTAGTTGAGAATGTTTGTAAGAACACCCTGCGTGTTCTACAAGTCTGCCAAAAACTCGAGGTAAACTACATTCTTTATACTTACTTGGTGTTGTCAGATTCTCCCTGTTGTCATATGACTAGCAGCAAAATTCCACTGAAATGAATTAGACAAGGGTCATGCCACACAACTCATGATTTCTCCAAGTCTACATTCACCCACCTAAAATGGCACTTACACATAGAAATCGACCAGTGTTTTATTTATTTTATTTTTTCCATGGCCAATGCTGTGACTGATTCAGAATCCAGAGAAACCGATGGCTGATATGTATGGCAGATTTTGATAATTTTCCTCAAATTACGTTATTTAAATTGACTGCAAACTCACCCACAGCACTTTGTTCAAAATATAGAAGAACTGCCAAGTCAAAGTTTTCACGTTATCTCTTTGCACTAATGTGTTCAAATAAAGTTTCATGCATATCTTTATGTAACAGCAACTAAATATGGCCTGTGCTGAAAATGTCCTATATTATGCAAAATGACACTTTTGAGCTTTATAATCCATGTTATGCCATTACCTTACCATAAATATTCCTGTAATTGTGTTTTGTTTCATTCATGTCTGAGTATCCCCTTCATTATTAGTCTGTGCACATCTCCAAAGCTCAAAATGTTTTGTTCCACTTTGTGATGTCATGAAGTTTTACTTTTCAAGTACCAGCTACCGTTTCCGTTTACTTCAGTAGAGATTGGCAATTGGTGTTGGTGTTTGCAGTTTAAAAACACAGTGGAGCACTTGTATTACCACATGACATCACAAGGTGGAACAGGAGTATTTTCTGGTTGAGAATAGAACTCTAAACCTGAATATTCAGAATTTGTGTTTTTAACATGTGTGAATGAAACAAAACACAATGTTTGTGATGATGATTATAATTATGAGAAAACAGGCCAATGCGCTAAAAAGTGCAAATACGACTAGTTGACAGAGAGGTTTTGATGAACTTTGTTTGCTCTGAATAATCTATTTAATTTACTATTGGATCACTGATTCTTATGATAGATCCCAGTGTTCAAAGGTGCGTCCAAGCCAATTCTCGGACATGTAATTAAAGGAGCAAATTTTCACGGACTGGACGGCCTTGGAGATGCCCCAGACCCCAACGCGCCCAGTGCAGACCTGATTCAGAAGGAAGGCGCTGTGTCTGCAATGATCAGAATTATAAATGAACATCCAGGACAGGTAAGATGTATAAACATGTGTTTCCCAATAAATATAGAGCTAAACACTTTCTATTCTAGGTGTCTCTTGTTGCCACAGCTCCTCTCACAAACTTGGCTCTTGCAGTCAGGATGGACCCTTCCTTACCAAGCAAACTAAGAGGTCTATACATCATGGGAGGAAATACTGAGTGTAAGTATTATTAAAGGGCTCATATTACACTATTTTCTGATCTGTTGTTGTTGTTTCCTCATCACAAACATACCTGGACTTGTATTATGTTTCATTCACACAGACCTTGCATATTTAGAATGTGTTCTTCTCTCAAACTCTGTTCCACCTTGTAACTACAGTTTTGAGGAGTTAACAACATTATAAAATGGCTTAAAGCTTAGAAGAATCAATTCTGTGTAAAATGGGACCTTTAAGTTGTTATAATATTATACTGCTGAGTAATGTTCATGTCGTCTAGCACGAGGGAACACTACTGTATGTGGTGAATTTAATTTTGCTGCGGATCCTGAAGCTGCTTATATTGTTCTGAATGACTATCAGTGCCCTATCTACCTTGCATGTTGGGAGTTCACCTGCTACAACAAGTTGTCTTGGGTAAATATTATTTTATTGTTTATTTTAAATATTTAAAAATATTTATACATCAACTTCTACACTAATGAGGTATAAGACTACTTTACACTTTGGAGAAAAAAAACAAGTTTTATTTGTTTAAAGTCTCAAGTAGAAGCACTTTTTGTATGCTTGTGTCTGTAATGGTGAAGAGATGGTTCAATAGATCTGAATTCCCAGCTGAAGATCATCAAATTCACTGGTCAATGCATTTTAAATATGAATGATGCACAGAGGTCTGAGAATCAGCTGATCACTTCCTTTAGAGAGTTATTAATTTTGTCTTGGGCTTATTACTTCCTGTAATTTATTTTTGCAATGAGTGCTACTCAATATGACTAAACTGAAACGATTTATATTTGGCAGGAGTTTTGTGACCAGTGGTTGGCTCAGGACTCTGACAAAGCCAGATTCATGAACCGCATCTTCAAACACAGCCTGGACATATCCAAGTCTGAACGCTTTGAGAAAGAGTTTATTGATGGCACAGGGCTCATCTCTTGTGACTCATATGCCATGGCAGCTGCTGTTGACGATGCTTTTATTTTGGAAACAGACCAGTTTCCTGTCAGTGTGGAGCTCACTGGGACTCACACCAGAGGCATGATGGTTGTGGACACTGTGGGGCTCCTGAACAAGACCCAAAAAGCATTTATTATGAAGAAAGTTAATTTAGAAATGTTTGAGCAGATGATGATGGCAGCTCTCAAGTAAGCTTTTAGTGTAATTTAGGAACACTTAAAAGTTACTCAGAATGTAAAATGTTAAACTTTTTAATCACATAATAACATAATAATACATTTTTGTATGAGAATCACAAACTTATCACTAGGTGCTAAGGAAAAACAGTCCATTTGCCGATTTTCCAAGCCTTAATATCCTTTTCTTCCTCTAAATCTTGATCTAGTGTCCAGCTGTCAATGGAAGATACACAAAGAATTTGTTAATATGGTGCATGTATGATAAGGTGGCTAAACCAAAACTTTATTTGATTATATTGCCATCTTTCTGGTAATAGGATATGTGTAGGATAGGCTAATGCTCACCAGTGATCTTTTGCACTCAAAAAATGAAGTCTGGAGTGCTTTGCAATGGCCCTCCTTCAAACACTCACTTGGTGATTTCCCTTCCTTCAAAATAAAAGAAATTATAACATACATATCAGATCATTTGCTATAAAAAAGCACACATAAGGTTTACAAGTTTTGAAGTTAAAGGGACCATAGTACACGATTTTCCGATCGATGTTATGTTTCCTTATCACAACATACCTGGAGTTGTGTTTTGTTTTATTCACATTTAACACACAAACCATCCATATTTATTAGGCTGTTATTCTCTCACACTAAATAGTTCACCTTGTGATGTTATGTGGTAATACAGGAAGTGCTCCACTGTGTTTTTAGACTCCAGACACTTTCACCACAATCATTTGGATAATTTTAGCCCTGGCATTGTCAATCTCTACTGAACTAAAGGTAAAAGGTAGCTGTTAACTTGAAAACTACCTCTACAAACATCACAACGTATAACAGCATTACAGACTAATAAACCAGGATTACTCAAACGTGTGAATGAAGCAAAACTCCAAGTATGTTTTTGATGAGGTAACAGAACAGCATGGCTTAAAGCTCCCATGAATCGAAGTTATGTAATATAGGACCTTTAAGATTAGACAACGTTTATTGATTTTTTAAAAGCCAGAGACTCTATCAAATTTTATTTCCTATTTAGGACAGTACTATTATTGTCCGTGAACTTACCTTTACAACACAGTCGTGCTGAAGGAGACAAGCCTTGAAGTCCTCTCTGATCCCAGCACAGGCGCGACCATCTTCCTCTTTATCCTCGTAGTATTTCGGCATGTTTATCTCCAATCTTTCACGTTTGAGAAAATTGTTACCCACATACCGTGGATTAAAAGCTATGACAAAATTCTTGCGATATCGGTACTCTCATGTACGCTCACTGACATGTTTAAAACTGCCTGATGGGAAACCGGAAGTGTAAAGCGGTGCATGATGGGACTTGTAGTTTTCAGGGACATGGGAGTTTGTAGGTTCTGCGCAGTGTCCTTGCTGTTACAGAATTGCACTTTTCTGGGCTGTTGTCTTTCAAGTCTGCTTATCCACAGTTTTCCCCACGTCTTTCTGATCAGTATACATGCACAATGAAAATGATATGACAATGCATAAAGTCAAAAATGACTGAAAATGATGACTTGTAGCAAACCATTTGTTTATTTAAAAATGACAATGAAGATGGCAAAGCTTCAGAGGAAGGCAGACACATGTACATGAAGGCACATGAACCAATGGCTGTGTTGAGCAAAGGAAGAATTTGTGTCTTTAAATGTAATGTACAGTGCTGACGTAGGTTTTTAAATTATGTCATGCACGTAACTAGTTCAAGTGGACAAAGTCAATTCCCAAAATAACCTGCTTGATGTACCAACTTCACAAGAATTCACGGAAAACTGTTGCACAACCACAAATGGACAAAACTATTCAGGAAAAAGGCACTTCACATCTCCCTAGAAACACTGATCGCTACAATGAGAATGCACTTACAATGACTTCAAGTTAAAACACAAATATCTCTTTTACAAGTAAAGTCAGGCAAGAAATGAAAGTTGACTAAATATTTACAAAGTTTTACAGTGTCTACGGAAGTAAAATGACTAATGGGGTTCAGTTAAATATTACTAAGAAGAATACAAAGTAGGGCTGCCATCAGTAGTCATTAAGTTGTATAATTTAAAATGTTAAATAAATTATTGGGTCAATACATGTGGAACAGTAGGTTATATGGCAATGTAGTGCAAACAATGTGGTTACCGTTGAGATGTAAACACAAACTACAGTGAATAGGGCTTGTCTGGTCAATAAATTTAACATATAATAGCCAGCAAGGTGATTAGAAAGAGACACTCAGATGGTGGATCATGAAAGTGAATATAAGGCACATTCACTACAGTTTAGACCAAACCCTACAAATCAAGTCTAGCACTTAAAGTTTGCAATGTATACCCGAAATCTTTACAGAATAGTAGCCTATGGCTGGGCCTACATATGCATTACAAAATTACAATGAGCAGCTATATTAACAAAGTCAAAATAAAACGATAAACAATACAGTTTGCAAATAATTATGTCATTAAACTACCATAAACATCTATTATAATAAAAATATATTTGACATCTTGTACAAATTAAAAGATTTATTTCAAATAAATTAATTCACCTTCATAGATCGTCATAGCTGTAATATGTATATCAATATAACAATATGTTCTTTAAAGACTGTGTTGCAAAGGCGATGGATGACAAATTCTGAAATAGTGAGATGGATTCAGTCAAATTGCACTGAGTTCATAAAATAAACTGAATAAAATGAAGAACACAGGTCAGTGTTCACAGTACTGACTTCTGTAACGTAAAACGTTAGTATGTTCTCTGTGCCAAATGTTAAAAACTGTAAAATAAAAAATGATAAGTATGTGTGTATGTATAATTCGGGCTGGTGTTTATCAAATACTTCAAAGATGAGAGCAGAACAACTGGCCATCACTGACGACATTCTTGATCCGAAACCTCGATAACACAATTGTTCTGACAGTGCAATACCCCAATCTGCCCACAGGTGGCAGCATCAAGTAAAATAAGGATTTGGCAGCATCTGAACCAGCACTCAGCTGACTGGTTTTCCCAAGATGTGAAGATTGTCCTCATTCTTCATATTTGTATTACATCCAAAGCAGCTGAGAAAGACAGTCACTGAGAGCCACAGCTGTTGTCTTCATTTTGCTGCAGTAGTATTCACATTCTCACACACTGCAACAGTCATGAAGGAAGTAGATGGGATTAAAGAAAACAAAGTGATGCTGAGCAGAATGAAAAGTGACAGGCAGAGGAGCAGAGCCAGAGAGGAGCACTTCCATTATGAGAGGCTGTATTGGCTCTGGTGAGTTCATTGTAGGTGTCTCTACAAAAGCAGTCTAGAGTTTGGTCCTCTGAGAGCCATGAGTCAACTGTCTCATGGCCAGTATCAGTCAGACTGCTATCCTCTTAATATGGATCTGCATGGAAAAGGGTGGAAACAAATACAAGTTCATAATTGACTAAGACCAAAGTACACCATAAATGCAAAATGTTTTCTCTTACTTCACTCAGAATTGCCCACACAGCTGAGTCTTTGTGAACAGAGAGTCGAAGTGCCAAAACAGGATTAAGAGATGGATCTACTGCTCCTTCTGCAACGCCTTTCTCAAACTGACCTGTAGCACAATAACACAAACTAGTCACTACAGACATCCTCCCTCCCTGCTAATAAAACACATTGCTTGTCACAGTGTAGGGAGTAAGTACATGTAAGTAAGAAAAACTATTGTTCCAGTCATATTACAAATGGTGTTGGGGCTATAAGTAACACACCATCATATTACTCACTCTAGAAATCTAAATACTAAGCACTTACATGATTACAAAAACTCTTTCATGATTTTAATGGTCCAACTTACCAATCCTGTAAAAGCGATCTTCAGTACGTTTATACTTTTCTTTAGCCTGTAGTCCAGCGTCCTATCAAACAGTATAATCCATTAAGATTAATTTTTCAAAGGTGTAATTAAGAGCTCACTGCAGTAATGTATGGCTAGAGGCACCACATTGTTGCGTCATGCTTACATTCCATTCCTGCCAATCAATCAATACCACAAAGCACTCAATGTAATACAATCAGAGGCGTTTGCTCATCACACCACAAATGGACGACAGGCTGTGAAGTGTGTTTTCATACCGAGACAGGCAGTATTTCCACCGTTGTGTTTTCAATCTTGTCTCCAGGGTGCTCCTGATTTCCACTACGAAACAGGAACCTGCCAATAACCGTAATGTTAATTTGCAAACCCATGACAGTCAGTGTTGCAAACAACTCAATGCAGATTTTCCTCCAACATTCTACTCTAAACATTAAAGCCAGTTCTTCTGTTTTTT